TTGGATTTAAATAAAATAACTAACTAATAACATTATTTAACTTTGTAAGGAAATGAATTACAAATGTGCCCATACTTTAAGCCTAATTTATTTATTATAGAGCACCGATTTTGAAGAAGCTTCTGCTTATAAAACAGCAATACTTGTATAAGTAACTCCTAAATAAAATGTCGAAATAAACAAAAAAATTTGTAATGTCACTTAGATTGATTTCTGCACCGATTGTTCCTATGACAGATATATGATATAGCTTAAAAATTTTGATAAAAATTCAGATCATAGTCAGGCACCTTAAAAATCTCATTAACGCTGAATTTTCTTAAGATATCTCCAAAAGCAGAAAAGTTATTCAACTAATAGTTATTTATATGGTGATCGTTCCTATGGAAGCTAAATGATATAGTTCACAGATTTTGATGAAAATTCCGAACATAGTGCGGCACTCTAAAAATCTCATTAATGCTGAATTTTCTTAATATATATCCAAACAAAGAAAAGTTATCCAACTAAGAGTTATTTTTATGCTGATCGTTCCTATGGCAGCTATATAAAATAATGGGGCTATATGTGGTCTGTAATAAACTCGATCTACGCATGGATAAGTCAAGTCTAGAAACGAACTTTGACGTGTCTAGCAATAATGGTTCAAAAGATCAAAGCGTTCATACGGACGGACATAGAGCCAAATCCTCATGGATTCGTCTAGTCATGCAGGTCTAGGACGCCTTCCTGTCATCTAGTAGACCCTTCGATCCTTCGGTTGCAGCTTAAGCATAAGCATTAAATGAAAATCATCAAATTAATTAACGAGAGCTTAGCCCCTGACCTACGCACTTGTTTGGCTATTGTCCTGAAATTAAAGTTACTCTCTAGTGCCAGGTCGAAAATAAGAAGAAGAAGAAGAAGAAGGCGTGCTGGGGGTCCCCTTTTTTCTATGCCTTTTATGCGCACAATTTGCGACATGTCAGTTGCAAGTAACGGCGCGTCGGTCTAAACGTTCAAACATTTTCGCACAACAGGAAATTGACTTTTCATCGACAGCGCAAGTCTGGAGACGGCGCTCAAGAAGAAGAGGAAGAAGAGGAGGAGCAAGAAGAAGATGGCGAAGAAATGACATAACTCCAAGTATATGCAAATACTTGTCCTGCGTTATAAATGCTGGAATGCTTGTCTGCCTCCGCGGCTGCCGCTGCCGCTGCTGTTGCTGTTGTTGCTGCTACTTCTTATTCTTCGGCTAAGTCTCTTTTGGTGGCTGTCAAAAAAGCTTCAACAGCAGCAACAACAACAACAGCAACAACAACAACAATAGCAACAGCATTATTAACAACAACTTCCGTTACAAGGCAGCAGTGGAATTGGCCCGCGACCCCGAACTATGCGTCCGCTCATCACATTGCTCAAAAGTTAAGCCATTAGCGAAATGTCCTTTACTTTGCTTATAACGCAATTTTCTGTTACCGTTGCTAGCTCGCATCGCACTCTCTCCCTCTCTCTCTCACTCTCTCTTTCCCACTCTCTCTTTCCCACTCTCTTTGTCTGTGCCTCACTAAGCGCTGTTGTTCTCTTTTTCTGCTCGTGCTGTCCATTGTCTGTTGCTTCGTTAGCCGCTGCCTTGGCGCTAAATGACAACTTCACTGTCAGCATTTTAAACTTTTCGTCCCACTCTCCCTCCCCCTCCATCCCCCTCTCCCTCTCGCACGCGCGTTCTCTTTTGGTCGCTCACTCGCATCTGATCCTTTTCCATTTCATGTTGCTGGCCTCCACCATTTATTTTTTTGTTGCCATTTTTCGGGGCGCTAAGCAAAGTTTTTCGGTTGTTCTGTTCGCGCTGCATTGTGTTTTGGCGAAAACTTTCCTTGCAACGTTAATGAAGTTGAAGAAATTTTTGTTTTAATTCGTTTTAGGGTGACAGCTTATGGGATTTTTATTCTCCTTTGTTCAAATAGTCGCCGCATCATCACACATTTCGGGAATGCCATAAAGAAATGCCTTCAATATCCAAATTATTAAACAATTCTTTTACGAAGCAATTCATCAACTATCTATAAGTTATTACCTTTTATATATATAACAAAGGCAAATAATTTCTAACTATTTCCTTATATTGGATTCTTTTCAGGTATGTGCTCTAATATTTCCGAAAAGTTCTTGAAATTCTTTAGTAAGTAGAAAGTGTTGACACAATATATAGAAATCTCGTAACTCTCTTTTATGCAAATGGGAAATCTTTAAGGACTCGATGAAGTTTTGTTTATTTTAAGAAAATACATTTTCTGGAATGGCTATAACCCAAAATGGTTATTTTTATTTTACGTACACTAATGTTGTTTTCGTCGAAACGACTACGGCCTTTTTGCAATTGTGTCTCAGTTTTTAAATTCAATTAAATTAAATTCAATTCTTAGAACTTTAAAATTATACAAAAAATCAACATAAAACGTCTTCATATACTTTTACTAAACTTTCAAGTAGTCTTTTTTGTAATTACAATACTTGGCAGCTTAAATCAGACTTTAAGAATTAGCAAATTTTACAAACTTGGTTCTTTGGCATAAAGTTGGATTTAAGGATTCATATCAATAATAAAATTAAGGAAGTTAAGGAACATTATATTAACTTGAACACAAGCTCTTTTTTTTCAGTACGAAATTTCCATATTTTTCTTTCATTTATGATTAACAAATACTCATGCTAGACATCCAGTTCCCCGATCAACCAGTTTAAGGAGAAATTAATAAAAATTTTAAGCTTGTGGATTATTGCGAGTTTGTTTCTTTCCACAATTATAAAATATGAGCTGCTTACACCAAAATATTCCCTCTTCGTTGCTTTCCAGTCAATACATTTCGATTCAGAACTCTTTCGACACATCAAATCAGAACTTAAAACTACAAAAGATTTTTTTAAAAGTTTGTGTTGTTTGCATTAAATGAGAGTTACTTAAACAGGGAAGGGATAAGCTATTAGATTTTGCTACCACCTACACAATGTATTCAATTGTCTAAGTTAATTTAACCAAATTCAAAAATAAACAGCTTTGTTCTGGCTTTTTATGTTCGTAAAATTAGATGAAAAGCGGAGGCATTAGTGCTGGGTAATTTTATTTATGACTTTCCCTTTGAACTGTGTCTTCAAGTTTTTGAAGCCAATATTTTAATGAAAACTAAAATTTAATTTTTAGTTTTATGCTTTGCTTAAATGCTGTTACGACAATGTTAAAAGGCGCTAACAGCCATCGTCTCTGTTAAGCATCGTTTATGAAATGTTGCGACAACATTTGAATGCTTGCCTGACAACATTTCTGCTAAGTCAACAGACCCAGAAGAGCTCACCCCGCGGCCACTGTTATTACAGCGGACGCTGTTAGTTTCACATGCCAATATCTGTTGTCTGTTAACACTAGATAAATTTGAACGAAACTTCAACTTCGTGCAGTGCGTAACACGGCAGCAGCCGGCAATAGCAACCCACCCACCCCCATTTCCCCTACATTGGCGGCAACTTGCCAAAATGTGAGGAACGCACTTTTTAACCTTCAAAATCTGTATGTGGTTGGCGCTCTCAGCAGCTTCGTTCAATTTTACTCAGTGTCGCTGCAAAGGCGCTGTGAACGACGGCAGCAGCGCAGTCTATGCTGGCGTCGTGCACAGCAGCACAAGCAGCGGCAGCGTCGACATGCGCAGTCTTCTGGCAGAGCCAGAGCCCCAACGAAACCCAAAATACGACGACGGCAGGCGGCCAAACGAGTGAACCAACAACAACTAGAGTTGAGGCAGAACACTCACACACTCACGCACAGCATCAATATGGAATGCTCAGTGCACGCTCTCCGGTGTTCACTCACCGAGCAGCTGTTTCGTTTTCATCCGCTGCTGCTGCTATTGTTTTTGGTTTTAGCTCTGCCCTCCCACGACACTTGCGCGCGTCAACTTAACGAAACACGTTTGCACTCTCGCGCTCGCGCTCGCTCTCCCGCTCTCTCGCATCCTCGCAATACACAAAAATTGAACGCTGTTGGCAGCAAGCGCTTCGTTGTTTTGCTTTTCAGTCTGAAAACGTCGCTCGCTGTTTAAACTTCGTTAGATGCGATTGCACGCACGCTCGCAACGCCGCGCGCAACGCGTACAAATTCTGAAGCACAACAAACGAGCAAAATAACACCTAGAAGAAGAAAAAGGTAGCAAAGAAGAAATTCGGTGTTCATGTCCCGTTTTAGTCTTCGTCCCAACAAGTCGCGTGTTTTTTCTTCGCTGTGTGATTAAATAAAAATAAATGTGCAAATATTCAAACGCTCGCAAAATATTTGTAAACGGTTTTTTGGAAATTTGTAACTAACTGCGCGCGTTGTTGTTGCGGCCTGCCAGCCTGCCCGCCTGCCCTCAGGCCAAAATATTTTATTGCCTGCTGCAGGCTAGTCCAGTGTGTTGTCCTGCGTTCTGTCCGAAGCGTCGCAGTCGCGTCGCAGTGAAAAGAAGACATAAAAATTTACAAGTCAAGATTGCGCCAAAGTCGTAAAAGGCCCTAGGCAGCGGCCGAGAAGTAGGCAGAGAAAGAGGCGGCCAGCGAAATGTGCCGAAAATAAATTAAGGAGAGAAATTGAAACCAATACCAACAACAACAACAACAACAACAGCTAATAGCAGAATCTTGAAAATGTTGTCAGAAATTGCCCAAAAAAAGTGTTCAAGTGATTGTGTGTGAGTGTGTGTGTGTGCGCGTGCATTGTTATTGTTGTTGCGCAAGAAATTGCAACGCAGAAGAAAAGTAAAGCAAAAATTGTGTGAGCAGCGTCCCAGAGCTCTCTTCTACTCTTTTTCCCCGCTACTCTACTACTCTGTCCGCCTTTCTGCTTTCCTCGCGACCAACGGCTTGCGCCCACAAAAGCCTTCAAAATTAAGTTCTCAAAGCAAAATCCGCATCACGCATACCGCCACACGGACAACATCTACGACGGTGGCACCGACACCGACGACGACGAATGTCCTTTGGAGTCCACCACTATGAATCCCTACGAATATGAGTCCACACTGGATTGCCGCGACGCGGGCGGCGGACCTGGTCCCGGGACCCTACCCATGACCGGACGCCACAAGTCGACGGCCGTCCACGACAGCCAAACCCTGCAACACCAGCAGAATCAACAGAATATGCAATCCGCTGCTGCTGCAGCAGCGGCCGCGGCCGCGGCAGCGCAGTCACATTACGATTACGAATATCAACATTTGACCCATCGTCCACCGGATACAACAACAGGAAACACAACGGCGCGCACACACGGCAGACAAGGTGAGCGACACAGCCAATAAGCAGTGCAAAAATATTGCATTTTCCATGCTCTGTAATCCGTAGAGAAGTTTTTTAGGAAAACAAATTTTTCTGGTAGCGCTGTGTTCTCCTTCCTCTTGTTGTAAAGGGTATTTCAATGTCCAGTGTAACATTCTCGTTTGCTTTTGTTGTTGCTTCAGCGATTAATAAGTGATGCAAATTGACGAAATGGGAATTTGTTTACCGTTCGAGAGAGCTAATTGGGCAGAGGAGACGTATTTTTGTGTTTACTGTTCAGTTTAACCCTTTGTGCGCGCTTGTGGCAGATTCGTACCAAGTGTTTGCTTTCTTAAATTGAATGTTTTGTGAATTAAAACTGAAACTGCTTAGCTAAAGATATTGAAGGCAAACAAAGCTGCGATTAAATAACAATTCGAAACATCTTAAAGAAACCAACTGCCCACAGAAACAGTTTTTATTTTTGGATAAACGAAATGCAAATAAATAAAAACTTAATATCGGTAGTAAATTTATGATTTTTTGTAATCAAAAATAAAAACTGGAAGTACTTGTGTTTCTTGAATTCAAAGTTAAAAAACAAAAATGCTATTCAAATAATTGCCAAGTAATAATTGGAAAGTAAATTGTAGTAGAAAATTATAGGTGATTATAAAATGCTTATTATCAGTGTTAATTGAACCAACATATACTGGTATATTTTTTTGTATCATTCTCCAAGCTTTGTTGCATAATAAATGTCATTTGGAACGTAACTAAACTTTTGCAAAATAAATGAACAGCTTAAATTAATTAAAACGGATTAAGGGCAGAATATGTTAAATTTTCAAAAGCTAAAGAATTATATTGAGCTCAGATTTTGTGATAAGGTGTTGCAATTGGCTTATTCTTGACCAAAAGTAACTCATATGCAAGAAATTTGTGGGTAGAAATGTGTTTTGGTTGCAAGTCAATTGCAAAATCCAAGTGTGTTTAAGAATTCCATTAATTTCAGTAAAAATGTACGAATTCATCCAATAAAGTGCTCTCTCTCTTCCCAAATGAATAATTGATACATCTTTTATGTTTCGACACTTGTTTCAACAGATTAATAAAATGTTACCTTTAATCAATTATTCAACAAATAGTTGTAGTTTCTTTCTTTAATCAAAAGCCTACAAATTTAAATTAAAAGCAATCAAGCATTCAAAGGGAGAGAGACTATCTCCACAAAGTGCAAATTTTCACATAATTATCAAATGAAATGAAATTATTTACTGCAGTCGTTAAATGAAAAATGTTAATTCTGATTCGCATTTGAGAATGAGCTTGAAAACAAATTTCTAATAAAATTCGAGGCTCAGCACTTAATCGAGTATTAATAAACAATTAATGTGTCTACAGGAAAGTGCGAAGCCAGTTACCCCATGGTCCTTCGTCATATGCCGACCCTTCGGGTCGAAAAACTTTAAAACCCACTGAGCCGATAAATGAAAATTCAAAAGCTCAGCGAACATACTTGTGTTTTGGAAAAACTTGCAACAGCTTTGGGAACAAATTAGCGGCCCTTATCGCGCTGCAAACATTTTGCATAAATTAAACAAATTAAGTCAATGTCAGCAGCAAGGCAGGGAGGGGGAAAAAGCAGGAAAATATAAAACAGAATATACTTCTATATATAGTATAACAGGGGGTAACTGTCAAAGTTAAGGTTGATCGGGGTAGAGAGCCAGTCAGTTGGCATTGAAAAGAATTGTCTGCGATGCGTTAATTCCTGTATTTCATACTTTCTGTTTTCCCACTTACTCATGATTTTTCCGGCTGAGCGCTTTTCACAGCGCCTGCCAAGTCAAACTGTTTGCATTATTATTTGTCTTATTAATAACAGAAGCGTCTGTGAAAATGAAACTCGGGATAAAGCAGCAGCGGCAGCAGTAATAGAAACAACAACAACAACAACAAAAACTTCAACAATAACAGTCAAGCTAGAAGTTGCTTTGTAAAATGTACGCCTCGGGGTTTTCATTCTATTCAGTTTCTTTATTTTCTATTTTTTAATATTTTCCAACAGCTCCCGACAGCGGCACAGTGGCCGAAAAGAGTTTTGACAAACAAAATGTTGATGGCTGAGTGGATTAAAAAGGATAGAGTTATAGTTAGAGGATACGGAATTTGAAAAAGTGATAGGATTAAAATGTTGACAAAACTCGACTAGAGAATAAATGGCTATGAATAAATATATTCCCCTTGTTTAGAAAAAAATGATGTTGGAAGTTGAAATCAAAGCTACGCTCAGATAAGGAAATAAATTGCAGATGCGTTCCAATACTTCAATTAAAAAACATTATAAAATTGAAAAAGTTTTCTACTACAGTAAATTATGTTAATATTAATCTTTAAGAAGATTAATAAATTTAATAAGTTTGTTAGAAAAATTGTATTTATTTATTCAAAAAAGAATTCCTATGCTAGCAGTGGAAAAAAGATATGGCAGATTGGCCTCAAGCTAAGATATATAACTAAATAAAACCAAAATTAGTTAAATAAATTAAATATAAAGTATTATTAAAATACAAATAGTTAGAAAAACACTGCTATTGTGGTATTTGTGTTGCTTCAAGCATTTGTTCAAATACTTTTCATTTTTGAAAAGCTACCTTTTTCTTGCAAAATAATTAAAAAATTGCCACTGTATTGTGTGCGCTTTGTCACAAATTAAGGATACGAATCCGAATCTGATGCCTGCGGCTGCGGCAAAAGGGCGCCTTAGAGAGGAACTCTTGAGTTTCTCGACTTGGAGTGGCGTTCGGTTACAGTTCCGAGGCAGGCACTGTCTGGATATTTGCGCTGCCTGTCTTTGTTGGCCTGGCCTGCATTTTAAAGTAGTTGACTGACTGCCTGTTTGTCTGATTATCTTGCCGCCTCACTTGGTTTTTCCCTATTTTTCAAGGGTTTTCCCTTGGTTGGCGGTGCTTTTCCAAATTAAATTTAAGCCGCTGTTTGTCAAATGATTTTCAGCGCCGCTCCCTCACTCTATTTCCATGTCTATCCCTCTCTCTCTCTCTCCCTCTCTCTCAGACGTTTCTTTGCAAGGGCTTAGTTTTGTTGCGAAATCCTTGACAAATCGCATTTTCATTGTCATGTGTATTGTTACCCTGTTTTCCAGCTGAGTCGAAAGCAATTGAATTTTTCTTTGAGGACTTTTCTTTCTGTCATTTATTGACTGCACTGCTTTGAAATCCTTATGCTGCAATCAAATGAAATGAATTCTTTAAGAGAAGAAAACTCGATTTTTATGGGAATGTACTGAAGATTTTAAATATAAGTTAAATATTTACTTGAAAATATATAGCACTTATGTGGAAGAATAAACAGATAGTTTAGATTGCGAATTTTTCAGCGAATTTTTCAGCTCCAAATGATTCAGTTTTCTCAAGTTTTCTCGCTTTTCAACAAAACCGTATGATTCACAGGAAACATATTTAATATTTCCCTCAGCCCCCATAAACGAAACATCCACACATCCCATAAGTGGAGGAAAAATCCGAACCGAATATCGATACATTCACACGCAACTGTAAACAAATTTGGAAAACCAAAACACTCAGGAGCCAAAGTGTGGACCACCGCAATAATTACAAAACTAATTCTAAACAAATGAAAGCCACACAAAAAAAAAACTCGCATTTGTTTATACAAAAAACAAAAAAACAAAAAAATATTGTTCGACACGAAAATCGAACAGCAACCGACACACATTTTTTTTGCAAATAATTCAGAGAATAAAAATAAACAGTGCTGGGGGCTTGAGCAGGGGCAGGAGGGCGCGTGGGTGTTGACGAAGGCAACCTGCTGTTGCCTCATTAGCTGTCCAAAGCTGCTGACGCAGACGCTGCAGGCGTGGTGTGTGTGTGTGTGTGTGTGTGTGTGGGTGAGTGTGAGTGAGCTGAGGCCCACAAAAGGCGCTATAAACTAATCAGAAATCGGGTGCGGCATAAACAAATAAATTTATTCGCGCTGCGATTGAAAAATCAAAACGAATCACAGTGCCCCCAAGTTGCAAACAAACTGAAAAAATAGGGCTATGATTTGAAGGTTTTCCAATTGGTTTTAAATTAATAAATAGCATTCATACATCTGTATATTATTAAACTTGTTGTAAAGCTATTGAACGGACTTATATTCACATTTTTTAGCAATTATGCTTTTTAAACAACTCATTCAGCGCAATTAGTCGTACTTTTAATATGTTCCTACATATTTTTCTGCTCTTTTGTTTAGCTATTTAATTGTTGTTAGGCTCTAAAAGTGTTCCTTTAAGTCCTGAATGGTCATAATTTTGCAAAATCTGTTTAACAAAATGGAATTTGCTTTTGGCGCTATTTAGTGGCCGCTAAAGAAAATAAGCGTATAATTGTAAAATGTAAATGAATAACATATTTTGAAATATGATTGATAAATGGTATTCCATTGCCTCTACAGATTTTATCTCGAGAAGTACCAGAGGTTTGGAAAAATGTATTTCTCTGCATATTCTCTTTTAGCTTAATACACCACTCTCAGGGATTTTCTATACCTTCGATTACTTCTTTATACAATAATTCCATTTCTTCATTATTGCCAAGTCTTTTAGTTTCGAAAAGCAATATAATAAGGGCTTTATTGGGAAAAAGGGTGCGGTGGATTTTTAATTGACAATTCTCCGATTAATAAGCGCTATTCAAAGTAAATTTAGTTTTTAAAGTACATTAATTTTTAAATAACTAAAATATTGAAAATACTGAAAATTAAATCCTCTCATCTTACTGCTGAATTCTTGTTAATATTATAACTAAAGAGGCTCAGTTCTTTCCCCACAAAATTAGTGTTGTTCCGAAATATGCGTTTTTTCAAAAAATAATTACATCTACTCTGTATCATCTTTCTAGGTCTGTTGTTCTTCTCTGCCCAGCATGGATTGAAAACGAATTTATAAATAAAAGAGCTCTGGTTAATGAAGCGTTCTTAACAAAAATGCATGCTCT